AAACAGCAAAAACAAAACCAAAGATGCTACCTTGTGGTATTGTTATGAGGATTAAAGTGAATATTATATCTGAAAGTACTATATAAACTTGAAGCAGAGGGTGAAGACTATAGTATAAGCCATATTTATCTGTGTCTTAGTTATCTAGTGCTGCTATAACAGAAATACCATAAGTGGATGGCTTTAACAAAGAGAAATTTATTCTCTCACAGTCTAGGAGGCCAAAAGTCCAAATTTAGGATGCCAGCTCTAGGAGAAGGCTTTCTGTCTCTGCCAGTTCTAGGGGAAGGTCCTTGTCATCAATTTTCACTTGTCAAGGAGCTTCTCAGCGCAGGGGCCTCAGATCCAAAGGACGTGCTATTCTCCCGGCTCTTGTTTCTTGTTGGTATGAGGTCCTCCGTCTTTCTGTTCACTTCTCTCTTTTATATCTCAAAAGGGATTGGTTTACGATATAATTTAATCTTGTAGATTGAGTCCTGCCTCATTAACATAACTACCACTAATCCCATCTCACTAAAATCATAAAGAGAGAATTTACAACACATAGGAAAATCACGTCAGATGACAAAATGGTGGACAATCACACAATACTAGGAATCATGGCCTAGCCAAATTGATAAACATATTTTTGGGGGACACAATTCAATCCATGACATTGTGGTTCTCAGTATTTTGGTTTGTTTTTTTGCTTTTTTCCCTTTAATTGAACCAACATTTTTTTAAAAAATGAAGAGATTTTCCTTTAAAATTTAAATATCTATTATGTCTTTAAAAAGAAATCAGAAGATCCTGCAACAACAGGCCTACAATCCTACATAGTAACAATCAGATGGAGCCAAATACTATCTGCCCTTTATAGAAACTGTAGGTGGGCTCCTGATCACATAGAACCCACCATCCCTATTTTCTCCCTAAGACTGAAATGGGGGGTTACTTCTTGTTGTAGCAGAAAACTCCCTCTGTACGCATGCCACTATCAAGCATGAAAAGGCAAAAGTTAGACTGAGAAGGTTGTACATTATCTTGAGGAAAAATACTCAGCTAGGAAAAAAAAAAGGTTAACTCTTCTATGTGTAGAAATGGCAAAGTTTGTTTGTCTTAAAAGAATTTGCTCAGCCTGCTTCCTTCATTTAAGTTACCTGTCTGATCTCTAAAGTTATTTAATTTGTTACCCCTTCACTACAAAAGTAAGAATCAAGTTTCTGAAAATTGAAAATTGTCCATGTAGAAAAATTTTTTTTTTTTTTTTAAGTAGGTACATTTTTCTTTATATTACACAAAGTTAAAGCTATAAAGCTATGGTCAACAAACTAATCTAGAAGAAATTCTTAACCAAAGAATTTTAAATTTCATGAAGAAATAGTAACGATAATAAGAAGGATGGTGGGCTGAGTTTGGTTAAGAGGCTATGAAATCTTTTGTAAGTATTTGTGAATGTTAAGTAGAAATGTGAGTGTGAGAGTGTATGGTATACATACACTACAATAAAAAAGGCAGCATGCTAAATCAACAGGCTGTCAGTGTCTTTTTTCCATATCTTAAATAGTTATAGATATTTGTAGAACTAATTTTGATTTAACATCCTTTGTCCAGAGGGAATTTTTCACGAGCTCTCTCCTCAGCAGATTCTGTGTCTACCAAAACAAAAAACCAAACTCGTTGCTATCAAGTCGATTTCGACTCACAGTGACCCTATAGGACAGAGTAGAACTGCCACACATGGTTTCCAAGGAGCAGAAGGCAGATTTGAACGGCCAACTTTTTGACCACTGTGCTACCAGGGCTACATAAGATCTCTAGAGATGACTTTATTATTGTTACATGCAATTAAAGTCCACAATATTTTTTTCTGGGTCTGGTCTCCATTTTAATATCCCTTGTTTTATTTTACTAATATCCTGGTCATAAATTGCCTCCAATAATTTCAGTGATTTTGGCAGGCCACTTACAAAACTGCTCTTAATTGTTTGTCTTTTTTTTTTCTTCTTTTTATACTGTGTCTTTCATCTTTAGAAAGAATATCCAGAAACTTATTTTCTAAAAACATTACTTGTCTTTCTGCGGTAAATACATGAAGTAGATAAGCTTTGGTGCCTTTTATCACCATCTAATTGTGCCTAAGCTTTGGAACAATATAACCTTAATTTCATAAATAATTATAATATTGCAACATTATAAACTATTTCTTAAAAAATGTAAATCCCTGACTGGCATATAACATAATGTGCAATACCTACTCACTAAACTGTAAACCCAGAGAACAAAGATAAGATCACATATTTGTATAAGACTTTGAATTATTACAACTGTGTTGTATTAGGGCTGCTCATAAATGTTCAGTTCTCTGTTCCATACACTCAAAAGTCACACTGACTTAGACTGGCTAATATAATGCCAACGGAAGTGACTCACTGCTAGGCTAAAGCTGTGAGAAATAGTGTGTTGTTCAACATGTTTTCCATTCCCTGTCGTTAGTTACCGTTGCAGAAACATGTTCAATATGAAGCCTTTCATCAGCCTAGATGTGACTACCATGAGCAGAGCCCTGTGACTGACTCATGTTGGGCATGTAATACAGGGAGAATTCAATGTTATGTTCTGAAACACTTGTATTTTGGAATTATGATCTCAGCAACTAATTGCAGAGTAAACAGCAGGTGAAAGAAGTGGGAGAGCTCAGCGGAAGAACTCATCTTAGGAGGTAACCAATGAGACAATATGGAGGCCTTCACACACACTAATGCTTCAATTTTCATTTTATGGTACAGCATAACTCACTAATCCTCTAAACTTGATTCCAAATTCTCGCAGTTACAGAAAACGTAAACCAGAACAACAAAAGTATACAACAGAATTTCAAATAAAGAGAAGTTGGCTAGGGAAGGACAAGACTGTCCATTTATGAGAAGAAATCACCTCCTCCCATCACCATTCTTACCTATTGTTGTTTGTACCTCAAATTTTCTTCACTCTTTAGTAAGTATATTTTGTACCTAAACGATTGACTGGATGTGTATTTGTGTTAGGGCAAAGACACACTGCCTAGGTGAATTACTAGAAATAAGCAGAAAATAGGATAAGTAACCAAACTACACTTGAGAAGGAGGAATTTTTATTCTTCAAGTGGTAACAGTATAAGTTACTGCTGCCAAATGCCAAATTACTACTTGATATGCCTAAATAGAACATGTGCACTGGAAAATGGCAATTACTGAGAACCAAGGCCAGAAGGAGAATCCAGGTCAGAGTGAGACTCAAGGGCCCATTTGACCAGCCTTTTCACCAGAACACTGGATTTCTCACAAGTCTTTATTCTGGCCTTTGTCCTTCTCATTAGTTTTGACAAACCATAAAAGAGGATTATAATTGCTTCAATCTCAATGGAGTTGGAAGTGAAGCACATGAAAGATAGATTTTAACAAGGAATGTTTGTCTAATTGTGATCATTTTTTTAATGGGGGGGAGGAGCCTAGATAAAACATTTCCATTTCAGAACTCTTCTTTTAGAAAGGTCTTTGTCTTAAGCATCATTGTATAATGCACACAAGAAAATGTGTCACCACTATAAGCACATTAAACAAAAATCTTTTAAAATGTCACCAACTTTAACTGCCATGTTTGGGTCCATTATTTTTCTTTTTAATATGCCTAAGTTAAATCCAGTCTTGAACTATGAAGACAATGCATTAAGTTTCTCTTTAAGGCATATACAGTATTGCAAATTCTGAAAGCAATTTCGCAAGGTTGCTTCCTAAATGGTTTAAATAATGGCACAACCATTTGATTAGCTGAACATCTCAAGGTGGCTACTTTGAGGAGGGTGCATTCATTAGGACATACAAGCTCTGGAATGAGATGTTGTATTCATCTTTATGTCCCCTACAATCCCTAGGACAATGTTTTTACTCTTACGTCTTCTTTAATAAACATTTGCTGAATTGAAAACTGGTAATAAATGACAATGCCAACACATGAACTTAAGTTTAAAAAAAAAACACACACACTCCAAGCCAGCCTTTTTTCCTTATCCCAATGCTTCTTCGCGTCAGCAAGTACCTAAACATGTCCTAAACTTAAAAAAATTGGCTATGTATATTGTTGCCCCAGTAGTATACCTTCTGAAGTGATTCTGCTAAAAGGTCAAAACCCATTAAATCACAATGTAGTTACTTCACAAATGCAACTACTATAACTAGTGGAATTATCATCACAGCAACTAAAGTGTGGTAAATCAATTCACAACAGTGTGGTAGGAGCCAAGCTAAAACCACAACATCCTAAATTGGCCTCTGGAAGTTTAGCTTTCCTGGCATTTCTTCCTCTCCACGACAGCAATGTTAAACAAGACCGAATGTTGCTGTTATGTTTACTCATCGATGTTGGTCCAAGGGGAAAAAAAAAAAAGACCAAGATAGGCTTAATCTTCCCTGAGAGGGGAATATTAACAAGGAAAGAACAAAAGCTAGGGCATGTAGTTCCTGTCTGGAAGAATCCTGTTAGATATAAAAACGCACTATTTGCTATGAAATAACCCAGAAAATTTTAACTATACAATTACACAAATCGGGTGTTATTCACACACTAATTCACAGGAGCGCTCTGGTCATGCAAATATCATAAATCCCGCAGTGGCGCAGCCTCAATCCCCAGCAGGACCAGAGGAAACGAGTGCTGGAAGCCAAAGGACCTACCCAGTGGCGCAAAATGGATGAAGAGGGGAGGGAATGTGGAAAGAAGTTTAAAGTAACTCGGGGCCTCAGCGCTACTTCGGGTGCCTAAACTGTCAACCCACAACTCAGGAAGTTACACAACCCAGTTACCCAAGTCGCCCCAACGCCCCGCCCACCAAGGCCCTTCCCGCCGGGGCAGGGGCGGGGCCGCCGCGTTTAGCGGGACCGAGGGGCGGGGCCGACGCGCGCAAAGGCCGAGGGGTGGCCCGTGCCCGGAGCCCGCGCGGGCTGCGCCGGGGTGATGGGGACCCTGATGTGGTTGGGTGGTACCTGCGCTGCAAGTCCGGAGCGAAGGGTTTCAGGTACGGGTCGATCTCCAGGAGCCGGGCCAGCTCGGGCACGTCCTCCGGGGCAGCAGCCATCTTCTGCCGCAGCCCGAGTAGCCGAGGCCCGAGAGGGTCGAGTAGGGCCTGAGCGGGAGCGGGAGCCCCAAAGGCTGGCAGATGGTGAGGGCGGAGCCGGCGGGCGCAGGCGAGCCGATGCGAGCCCAGGCGGCCGGGGCCCTTTATAGCCGGTGTGAGCGGCTGCCCAGCCCCTGCTCCCCCCGCCGGCGGGGAGGAGCGGGACCCGGAGTGATCCCGGGACGCACGTCCCAAACGGGGAGGAGGTGCCTGGCCCCTCCGCCCACTCACGCGGTCACACCTCTAGGCCGCTGGGACTTGCAGTTCCCTCCTCAATCCTGTTCCCCGCGGGGCAGAGGCCACCCTGGAGGCAGCCTCGCTCAGCGTTGCCCTCCCTTACCCTGGCCCTTTCTCGACCCGTAGCATACCTGCAGTTTTTCTTGCTTTAAGCAACGCCCATTGGCAGCATATCCTTCCTTCAAGTGGGTATGTGATTTTCTCAGAAGGACTCTTCCTTGTCAGAGTTATGAAATTTTCTTCTTGGAGAAGTGTTTCAGATATCAAGTAAATTCACAGTGAGGGGAACAATCGAGTGTGGATATAATGCCGTTGAAAATGTGACTAACCAGGACTCTCTTAGGTTTGCCATATCTGTTGAATTTAATCAAGGGAAACAGGATTCTGGAATTGTCCAAAGGATACGCTAGTATTCTGGTATTTTTCCTTGGGATACCAATGCCTGAGAGTTGAAACCATGGCAAGAAGTCTTCCCATTTTCCATACTGCAAAAAAAAAAAAAAATGCGTTCTCTTTTTAGTCCTTGTACTAAGTTTTTCAGTGAATAAACTGTCCTTGGTGAGACAAATGGTGTAAGCGAGAGCATTAAATGGAATTCCACTTTGACAACAAGTGGTAGAGCCGGAAACCTCTGGGCCTCTTTCTTCTTGACTTTGGAATGGGGCAATCTATATAGTCTTCCCTCACTGGGGACTTTCTTCTTTCATTCCCACTAACTGACTGGCTTCCAGCTCAGTGATTCTATTTTAAGTATACAGAATTGGACGCCACGAGAAATGTACTCATGAACACAGGAGGTTTAAGTGTGTTTGCATCTGGAAACTACCCTTTGCAGTCCAGTCGATTCCAACTTACAGCAACGCTATAGGACAGAGTAGAACTGCCCCTTAAGGTTTCCAAGGAGCCGCTGGTGAATATGAACTGCTAACCTTTTGGTTAGCTGCCGAGTTCTTAACCACTGCACACCAGGGCTCCTGCACCTGGAAACTAGAAAGGTGCAAATACTTGTCCCAGTTAAGAATCCCAGGAGCTATGGAGGAGGAAGAGCATTGATCAGTCTTGGGGCTTAAATTTTAAAGCATATTCAAAGCAGAAGTCTTTTGAAGCGGTTAATAAAAATATGATGAAAGTTACCTAGTGACAAAACTTCAGGCTGGCGAGAGGAGTTACGTCTGACCTCTACCTCATAGGCATCAGCCCTAGGCTATTGATCTTGATTCGCCTTCACCCTTGTGGAGTTAGAAAAGGTCAGAGGCCTCCTCTACACCATTTTTACAATTATGCTAATTGAAGGAAACCAGTTACAAAAGACCACATGTTGTATGATTCCACTTGTATGTAACGTCCCGAATAGCTACATCTGTAGAGACAGAAAGTAGATTCTTGGATTCTTAGGGCTTGAGGTTGGAGGAAGTGAAGAGTTACAGCTAATGGGTACAGGGTTTCGTTTTGGAATGATGAAAAGTTTTATAAAATAGATTGTGGTGATAAATTGCACAACTGTGGATATACTAAAAACGATTGGATTGCACACTTTAAATGGGTGAATTGTATGGTATGGGAATTAAATGTCAGTAAAGCTGTTTTTAAAAAAAGGATTTTTAGGTATAAAATAACGATAAATATAGTTTTTCCAACTACGTATCCCCCACTGTTGAAAATCACTAGGAAAATCAGAGCGCTGAAACTAAACTCTGGAGAGACAAATATAGAAGAAGGAACTTTGAAGTAAGAATGAGGAGTGTTGATGAAGAAGAAGGTGGTCATCAAGGACCCAGGTTCCTTGGTTCTTTCATTTCCTCATAATATAGGCTTTTAACCTCAAGTTTGTCCCCTCATGGTCATAAAATAGCTACCACAGCTCTAAGCATCACTCCCTCATAAGACCACATCTAAAAGAAAAATGAAGATTTCTTCTATGTGTCTTTACCAAAGAGAAAAAAATAAATTTCCCAGATGTTACCATCAGATTTTTCTTTCTGTTTCTTTGACCAGAACTAGGTCAGGTGCCTGCCCCTAAACCACTGGATAGAAAAATGAGATTACCATGTTTGGCTTAAATTAATTGTGTTTCACTACTTGGATTGAGTCCACCTTCCCTTAGCTCATTGCTGCCCAACTCTAAATAAAATGGTTATTATATTCACATGGAAAAAGAGGAATGGCTAGTCAGCATGTCTGCTATGTCTTCCTTTGCCATTCTTCCTAGATCCCAATACCAATGCATCTTGCCAATGTCTTAACTAACTTGTCCGCTTTTGATTTGGGTATACTTACATTGCAAAACCCCAACCTGGAACAAATCAACGAATTTGCCTTCATTCCTACATCCGGACTGCTGGGGAATATCAAAGAAAATCATAACAAGAACTATATATTTCATGAAAATTTTCTCCTAGCTTTAAAAAACTCTCCCTTACTCAAGACCATCACAGTTTTACAGCTTGTCTCTAGGTGGTGCAAACAGATAAGCACTCAACTACAAGCCAAAAGGTTGGCGGTTGAACCCTACCCAGAGGCACCTCAGAAGACAGTCCTGGCGATCTGCTTCTGAAAGGATACGGTCTCGAAAACCCTATGGAGCAGTTCTACTGTGCACATACGGGGTCATCTTGAGTTGGGATCCACTCCATGGCGACCAGCAACAACAACAACACTGTGTAAGGTACACGGAACTGAGGGTGCCAATGAGGGCATTCACCCCAAGAAAGGGGAGCCTTTTCCTTTGCACAGAGGTGCTTCTTGCTCTTCAAACTCTGAATCCTTAGGAATGTGTCCACCAAGAGAAGGTACCTTTTTCTAATCTACACAAAGGCGGGGTATAGGCAAGTGATAGCCCTGCCCCCAACTCTCTTCCTTGACCATAACACTCCTCTTTTTTTTTAATTGCCAGGTTCTTGAAAGATTATCCCATTCATTTTTAATGTATGATTGACTGGCTTCTGCTCTTACTAAGCTGAAACTCTTCTTTCCAAAAACACCCATAACCTCCCAGTTGTTAAAACCAACGGGGCAGTATTTAGTTCTTGTCCTATTTAATCTCTGAAGCATTTGGAACTGCTAATTACTTTTTTCATCTATTGAAAAATAAAAGGGTAGAATTGTGACAGAGAACTTGAGATAATAAGCAAAGATGTGTAGCCACTGTAAGATACGAGAAAGGAAACAAGTCAAAAACAAGTAAAAAGATTCCTGAACAATGTTGAGAGCACAGCTGTAGCTAGGCACCAAACACCTGAGTGACCCAACCATGAATTCTTCATCATTATTGCTTAATAAGCTGTGTCAATTCAAAAATTGGCATTTGAATGAAGCTAGGGTTGGAGACATACGAGGTGAATATAGCAGAAGGGAAGGTCAGTAAGGCTAAGACACTTCTGATGCTGATGAGCTTGTCATACAGCTGCTTAACCTAGCATAAGGCATTGTGTTAAAGCGTTATGATGGTATAAAAACCTTTGATATTGTCCATTTCTTAAAATATTCATAATAATAGATAATTCATAAATGAAAAATTAGATAATTGTGACACTTAAAGTATACATTTGTCTTAAAATTATATTTTCAAGGTTTAATCAAATTTTAAAAACCCATTATTTCTCTCTCTCATTTTCTCTCTTTTTCTTTTTTCCCTTTCTCTCTTTCTCATTTTAAGTTCCATAGCTGTTCTTTGAAGTAAGGGAATTTAATTGAATATTTGTTTCTTTAAATTTCTCCATGAACATGCTCTAAAACTGGATGGTGACAATGGTTACACAATTCTGTAAATTTACAAAAAATCATTGATTTGTACATTTAAACAGGTGAGTTTTATGGTATGTAAATTATATCTTATAAAGCTATTTTTTTAAATAATTCTCCATAAGATTATGTAACTCAGAATCTCTGTTGAAAAGGTGAAGCTAATGTCTGGCAAGTGTTAGTATTCCTCTCTGCAAATTGACATCCACTTATTTAATTTTGGACTAAATTCAGCAGAGGCAGTGGCCAGCTGGGCTTCCCCTCTACCACCCACCAAGCCCCTCTGAGGGCCCTGGGGCAAGAGACTGTCATTCTGTCTTCAGACCCATTCACCCTCTCACCTCTGTGTTTAGATGGCCAAGTGGTGAGTGCTCAGTGTGATGGGAATTGTCACCACCTGGAAACCAGAGTGAGGCGAACAACTTTTTCCAGAGACAGTACAATAGTTTTTAGATAATGATTTTCAATTACTTTTGTCATAAATTGGATGAGAACCAGTGACTTAAAGGTGAAAGGTTCTAACTCTTGTGACATATTCTGAGCATCTGATCTTCTCCATTAGAACTTAACCAATTCCCTTAGTCTCGGACCTTCCTAAGCACACAATGGTTGCAAGTACTCAATTTGCAGGCTTCCTTTATGCCTTTATGTTATTACTAGTGGTTATATTATATCTGAAATTTTCAATTCTTCTCTATTGTTCCTTATTTGAAAATTTTTCAGATTGTTGAGCTTGTTGATATGAACTTACTCTGAATGAAGGCTAGAGTGATTCTTCAGAATACTAATAACACAGTGCTTTTGGTGGTCTAGGAAGTGTTCTACCCATTGTGTGTGTATGTGCACACACACATATAAATTATATACACACCACACATAAATGTGTGTATGTATATATGATATTTATATATGTGTGTATATATACATATACACACACACACATATATAGTTTTTTTATGGGGAGGTTAAAGAATTTAAGACAA